GGGGCCCTCTGGCTTCCCAAGCCAGCTCTTAACCATTGTGCCACTCGGCCGGCCCTTTTGAAGTATTTTAAAGTTAATTACAGACAGTACACTTCCTCTTATACTTTAGCATGCCTATCATTAACCAATTTTAACATTTGTTTATGGTATTTTAAAAAATTAAATACAATTAAATACACACATCTTAAGTGTATGTTTGTTGAACTTTGACAAATGCATATACCTGGGCACCCCAAGCCCTTTACAAGATATAGAACATTACCAACATCCCAGAAAGCTCCATTTCCTAGTTAGTCTTTCCTAGTTAGTCTCTGTGCCCTACCCCCATCCAATGCAACCACTGTTCTGATTTTTTTCCACCACAGATTAATTTTGCTTGTTCGAGAACTTCATATATATAGAATCAAATAGTCTGTACTCTTCTATATGGGCTTCTTTTGTTCAGTATATTGATTTTGAAATTCATCTACTTGTGCATATTAGTAGTCTGTTACTTTTTACTGCTGAGTAGTATGTTTATGCATCTTCCTATTAGGATGCATGGGTTGTTTCCAGTTTTTGGTTCTTATGAATAAAGGTGTTAACGAATATTCTCATACAGGGCTTTTTGTAGACATATGTTTTAATTTTTCCTGGGTCTAGGAGTAGAATTGCTGGATTCTAGGATTAATGTATGATTAGTTTTATGCCAGACCTTTTTCTAGAGTGGTTGTACCATTCCACACACCCACCAACATTGTATGAGAGTTCTGGTTGCTCCACATCCTTGCCAACTTCAGTTTTGGCAGTTTTTTAAATTACCTAACTTTAAGCATTGTCATTTATAAATCATTGGAAGAAAAGCGATGCCTATTAATTTTTATTATTCTCCTAGGGAAAAATTAAAAATTAATTGTACTGCTTATTTCTTAGTTCTATTCGTTTTTTTTTTTCTATTAAGCTTTTTATTTTGACGTACATCCAGACCCACAGAAAGTTGCCCATGGCCGTTCTTCAGCATTTGACAGTTTTCACCAGTTTTTTATTTACATTTTCTCTTCCTGTAAGAAAACATTCTCTCGTGGTTTTTCACCAACCATTCATCTTAGCTTCTTTGCAGGATTTTCATCCTCTGCATACCCCTTGTACCTGTTGCCAGTTTTAGCCTTGATCCTCTTTACTCTGTAGAATCTTACTGGGTGATTTTACTCACACCCATGGCTTTAACTGCTACCTGTGCTAAATTTAACCCCTCAATCTGCTTCTGCAGCTCAGATATCTTTCTTGACTCTTAACTGCTAACCAGAGTCGCTTGGATGTCACACAGATATCTCAAAGTCAATTTATTCAAGTTGAATTAATTTTCTTTCCTTCTATTTACATACTGCTCATCTTCCTATATTTCCTAATTTGGTAAATAACCTACAGCCCATCTAGTTACTCAAGCCAGAACCCAGGGGCTAAATCTAGACCCCTTCTTCATGCAGCCATTTGGTCATCAGTTCTTATTGGCTTTCCTCTTGTGTGTGTCTGTAACCTGCCTGCCTCTGTCTCAAGGTCATGTCATGTCTGACCTTCTGCTGTCAGGTGCTGCTTCTCCACAGCCCACTTAGTTAATGCTGATTGACTCATTTTATTTTTTAATAGCTTATTTGGGTTTTTAAATTATAAAAATGGTATATACCTCTTGCAGAAATGCAAACAAAACAAATTTATAAAATTTCTAATTTTCCTTCCCCCTAACTGTCAAACTATTTATATTCTACAGAAATAACCAGTATTAATAATACTTAGGTATATATCCTTCCAGATTTTCCTTCCATTTAAACACAGACACACACATACACACTTGTTCTTTTTAAAACAGAATTCTACAATACTAGTATTTTACAGCTTAGTTGCAACTTTGGCAGCTTAGCAGCAGCTCAGCTCGGACCGGGAATCAAACCGGCGACCCTGTTGCTCAGAGCTCAGACTCTTGAGTGAGCTCTTAACCAGCTGAGCCACTTGGCCTGCCTTAGTTTTAACTTAATATAACATGTCAATATATAAAGAGCCACCTGAAATTGATATAGAGTATCAATATATCATAATTTATTTAATAATTTCCCATTGACGGATAATGAATAATGCTGCAGTGAACATTCCTATACATATTGATTATTTTTGGTAGTGTTTTGTTGTACAGATTATTAGAAATAGAGTTATGCACACTTTAATTTTTGTTAAATCTTACCAGTGCTCTTCAAAAAGGTGATACTTTTTATATTTTCCTTCTATTATGATGCCAGAGGCTTTCTCCCTTGCCAGTACTAGGTACTTATTAATACTCTAGCAATTTTTATTTTTTTGCTAACTGGCAAACTCTGTATAGTGTTATGATGATTTCAGACCAGAATATTTCTTATTCTGAGGACAAGCCTGCATGACTGTCTTCAACATTTTATTAATCTCATTTCCTGTTTGGATTAGGTGACATTTAGTTCTTGAACAAGGATGTTTGGAGGAATAATTTCTCTCTGACATGTATTTCTGTTGGCAGGAAAAACTTCTTAAGACTCAGTGTAGTCTGAAGACCAAGATGGTGGAAGCCATGCGTTTACATAACATGGAAGTAAAGAATGCTACAGAGTGGAAGGTAACAGCAGAAGTGGTTGGGCATTTCTTGAGGCCCTTTCAGTGTGAGGCTGCTTACATGGTTTTGCTGGGAAGAGCTTGTAGGATGTCGGCAGTTGTCAGGTCCCTTGCAGAGATAAGGTGATAGAACAGGAAGTACATATCTGTCCCTACTGACCTGTGGCTTTGGGTGATGCAAGTTCCATACACTTCATTTCCATATCTCGACTTTAAGGTAGTATCCCTCACTTTCCCACTTTTTCCTAAGTATATACCCAAGATTGGAGTTGTTTTGGGCCCAGGGCATTATAGAAAGTAAATGGACATTGCTTTCAGAGATGCTAGTCTAGTGGGAGGGCACGATGTGCATGCACCCACGCATATCTAAAGATTTAACAAAATTAAACAGTAGGTGTTCTGAAGACTAATCATAATAAATGTGAAAGTGCGTTTTAGTTTAAAAAGTATACAAACAAGGCATTGCTAGCGGTAGTAGAGATTCAGATGTTACAAAGAATGAATTAATACTATAAAGACTAGTATAAGGATGTCAAGTAAGTGTAAATGGAGGAGTAGTGGAAATTTGTTGGGGTGTGGGCAGGAACTTTTCTGGAGGAGGTGATAAGGAAGGACCATGGGTTATTGGGGAATCATGTGCAAAGTGTTTAGGGGCATGGACAGGCAGAACAAGGACTGAGCAAATCTTGTGTGGCCGTAGAACAATATGAAGAATCAGCGATTGAGATTCAGTGCAGAATATGCAAAGCTGCACCGCTTCCTGGCTGAAGAAGAGCAACTGTTTCTTCAGCGGTTGAGCAAAGAAGAAGAAGAGACAAAGGAGAAACAGAATGAGAACTTATTAAGGCTCAATCAAATAATCACTTCCTTGGAGGAGCTCATCTTAGAGGTCGGGAAGAAAAGCCAGAGCTCCAACCTGGAGTTGCTTCAGGTGAGACAGGCAGGGGAGGAGTTAGTTAATATCACCAAGTGAACTCCCTCTTGTCTTTAGTGCTGAATATCTTTATTGTTGAGTGGGTTTAATAGAATAAATATTTTCTCTCTGTTGACAATTGTATTACTACTATCATTGTACAATTAAAGAGTCAAAGATGTATCATCCAAAGGAAATTAATGTAATGATTCACTTGGCCTAATAGTTTATCTAGGATCTGAAGCACATCTAAAACTTTTCTATTTGTCTTCTTATATATTCATAATTCTTTGTTAAAATAGTAAAACAAAGCAAACATAAAATCACAAAGCAGATCATTGTATCAACAGTTTTTAAGAGAAATTTATCTTTCTCACTATTATTTAGTCATTACTATCACAGCTTGATATAATTTTGTTCTTAGCCCCAGATTTTGATTAGTACATTTATTTAAATAATTTCAAATATCCAGCAACCTTTAAAAGATTAAAATTCTAACTATAATAATTAGCCCTTAGATTTGGGTCCTGAGGCCAGTTCATTATCAAAAGTTAATCTTTACCTTTATATCCTTTGTAGGTAAAGCTCCTTTATAGCTTTCAGTTTTTTGGTGTGATCCAACATTTGTGACTGTCTTTTTTTTTTTTCTCACTGAAATAATTCACCTTTGGTCTCAGATCTATCAGAACCTCTCTTTCCTCTGTATCATGTGACTAAAGATGAAAGAACCATTGAAGGGTGTTCTCAAGAATACCTTCAATCTACCATTACTATTTTTTCTTATCAGGAGGAGATAACATTCTATTTGTCTCTTACGGAAGATGCAAACATGGACCCACTTATCAGTATTTTTAACAGGAAATTGCTAGNCAGTGTCACTGGCCCTCATATGTGGGATCCGCACCGGGGTCCCCTGGCGTCCCAAGCCAGTTCTTAACCATCGCGCCACTCGGCCGGCCTGGTCTTGTAATATCTCTTGCCTCGGGAGATAAAAATTATAAATTGGATTCCTTGCCAAACACATTATTGTTGTGGCAAATTCTGAAGCTCTGACTGGGAAACAGATACTGCCTTCTATTGTGGAAAATCTAGTCCCCCCTAGATGTACCCCAAATAAGGATAAAAGATCTGATACCCCTTTATATATTGATTATTTTAATCACAAACAAGTAGATTCTAGATACAGTACACCAATTTTACCCTATACACTAAAGGCAATTTTAGTCACACTGCTAGTCTCTTAGTAATGGACAAAGTATACACCCTGTAATCTTAAGATCCTGCTTAGCTAATAGTGTTTAGGATAATTGTTGAGTAGACATAGTCAGTATAGGTAAAAAGATTAGCCTTAGTCACATAGTCATTATAGGTAAAAAGATTAGAACACAGTTAAAATAAGTTAATCTTTAGCATAGAATAGGTCAAGCTGTACCCTGTAGCATAAGAATTAAGAGGAAGTGAAACTCTAAGAAAGATAGCCTATAAGGAAGTAGAACCCTGGGGATAAAAACATCGAAACTATGTAAAAAACTTTTTACTAATGAGGTAATGGTCAACTGTGCAATATAAAAAGGGACATGAAGTAAAAATAAAGTGTGACACTTCTTCGAAACGCTCCGGTGTCTCTGCTCCTTCTTCTTTGCCTCACCGACTCCGTCCTCACCTGAGGGAACCCTTGGACTCGTGGGAGCTGGACTCCCGCATGAAACTACATCAAATTAAAAAGTTTTTTCACAGCAAAGAAAAGCATCAATAAAACAAAAAGACATCCTACTGAATGGGAGAAGACATTGGCCAAGATATTGATAAGGGGTTAATATCCAAAAATTCATAAAAAGCTCATACAACTCAACACCAAAAAAAAAATCCAATTATAAAATGGATTGTTAGATGATGTATTACAGAATTATATACTTGAAACCTATGTAACTTTACTGACCATTTTAACCCCAATAAACCCCAATTTAAAAAAATGGGGGGGGGGCGGCCGAGTGGCGCGATGGTTAAGAACTGGCTTGGGACGCCAGAGGGCCTCGGTTCGGATCCCACATATGAAGGCCAGTGACACTGCCCTCTACAGCTAAAATGCTGAACAACAGTTCAACCTGGAGCTGGGCTGCCCTGAGTCGCCGGCGACGGCATAGGCTGCAGCCCCTNAAAAAAATGTATCAGCTAACATACGCAAGTGCCAATTTAGGGAAATTATTAAAAATGAATTGGATCATAGAATCTCAGAGCCTAAGAGAATTTATTTTGCTAATCCATCTATCCATCCATGTTTTTCATTTTTTCCTTTAGTTTTAGCCTGTAACCCATTTCACTTCTTAGAAACATAGCAACATTGAAAATAAAAAACATTCATTATGCTTAATTTTTATCTTTTTAATAGTATTGCTTGGGTTTATGTATTTTTAATTTATGCAATGAATTAGAGTTCATGTTGCATTCTATTTCTTGCTTTTTTCCTTCAGCACTATATTTTAAAGATCCATTCCTGTTTTTTATATATACATTTAATCCATGTGTCCATTCACCACATTTTGCCACTTCCCTCTTTCAGTAATGGATACTCAGGTTGTCCCCAACACCATTACCACTACAAATAATGCTACAGTGAAATCATTAATAATCCTTACTCTTATAGTCATTCTTATTTTTTTTTCCTTATTGGTTCTTGGGTTTGCTCTGTAGCTCTTTCCTCAGCCTCTTGAGTTAGCATGCTTAGCTGATTTATATTTACCCTTTTGTTTGCTGGTAAACATATTTAAGCTATACTTCCTTCTTTAAGTATTACTTTAACTATGTCCACAGATTTTGACAATATTATTTTTATTGTCATAGTGAAATAGATGGTTTAAAAACATTTTAAGTTTAATATCCATAGAGAAAAATACATAAATCATAAGCTTGAAAGATTATCACCAACTGACCCACCCATGTAACCACCACCCAAGGCAAGAAATAGAACATGAGTAGCATCCCAGAAGCCCTCCTCATACCCCCAATCAGTATCCTTTCCCTCTTCAAAGTTAGTCTTTTTTCAGACTTCTCACTGCTGCTAAACGTCTTACAGTACACAGAACACGCCTCTCCTCCTGCTCCCAGTGAAGACTTATCCAGCCCAAAATGTTAGCCGAGGTTGAAAACCCTGCTGTGTAGTACAGTTGTCCCTAGGTTTCTGTAGGGGATTGGTTCCAGGATACCCCGACAGATACCAAAATCCATGGATGCCCAAGTCCCTAATATAAAATGGTGTAGTATTTGCATGTAACCCATGCATATCCTTTTGTATACTTTAAATCATCTGTAGATTACTTATATATTTAATACAACATAAATAGTTGTTTTATTGTATTTTATAGTAAATAATGACAAGAAAAAAAATGTCTGTAAATATTCAGTACAGATGCAACCATGGTAGGCATAACTACATAGCAACAATGTAACGTATTTAAAAAAAAATATTTTCGATCTGCATTTGGTTGAATCCACCGATGCGGAACCCAGGATATGGAGGGCTGACAGTATTCCACTGTATTATTATACCAAAACATAGTCTTCATTTTACTGTTACAAAAAAGGAATTATGAACATGTCTTTTTTGGTGCACATATGTATACATTTCTGTCAGTTATATACCAATGAAAGCAATTCCTGATCACAGTGGTTGTACCAATTTACACCATTGGTAGCAATGTGTGAGAGACCCAGTTGCTCTATATACTCATCAATATTTAGAATTGTTCTTTAAGTTTAGCATCCTAAGTGGTGTGTAATGTTATCTCATGCTCTCCATCAGCTGCTCTTCCCTCCTCTGGAAAGGTAGATGGCATTTCTTTGATGACTGATGAGGTTGAGTACTTTTTCAATTGGTAATTAACCATTTTGATACACTCCTTTTTATTTTTTTTAAACTTTCTTGAGATATAATAATACATATATAATTCACCCATTTTAAGTGTATAATTGAGTGATTTTTATAATTTTACCAAGTTGTGCAATCCTTACCAGTCCACTTTTAGAGCATTTCCATAAGATCCCTTTGTGCTTGTTTACAGTTAGTCTCTGTTCCTACCCTCAGTTTCAAACAACCTACTTTCTGACTATGGATTCTCCTTTTCTGAATGTATCACATAAACAATGATACAATGTGTTTTTTTTGTGTGTGCGTGAATTCTCTCATTTAGTATAATAACGTTTTTGAGGTTCATTTATGTATTGTATTTGCATTCTTTTTTTATTCCTGAATATTATCTATTGTAGAATATACCACATTTTGTTTGTCTTCACCAGTTGATGGGTATTTGTGTAGTTTCCACTTTTTGGCTATTATGAATGATGCTGCTATGAACATTTGTCTGCCATTCTTTGTGTGGACATATGTTTTCCTTTCTCTTGGGTAGATAATATGAGCAGAATTTTTGGGCTATATGGCATATGTATATTTAACTTTGTAAAGAAACTGCCAAACTGTTTTCCAAGGTCCACTTTATATTCCCAGCACATCCTCACCAACATTTGTTTTGTTTGTGATTGAAAGAGAATAGATGGAGAAGTAGGCAAAAAGCCATGAAAGAGTTAATGTTATAGTGCTAAAGGAGAAAAAATTGGGTTTCAAGAAAGGGTTTGATGGACATTGCCAAATAGCATAGAGGGGTCACATGAGAAAAAAGACTACGTTGTATCAATCTATTGGCTTTGTCAGCATGAGATCATATGTGACATTAACAAAAGCAACTGACAGAAAGATACCTGCTCACCAAGTTGAGTGCCAGTTCTCAAGAGGAGGGTACATAACTTACTTCTTTCTTTCTTCTCTTTACAGAATCCAAAAGATCTGTTGACCAGGTATGAACTTCTTTCTTATGGGGGCTTGAGTGGAATGGTAAAAATACAGCTGGAAACAAGGCTGGGCTCCATTGATTAATCTGGCCAAACCCTGAGGGGTCTATGGAGGAAGAATTCTGTTCACTTTTTCAAGGAGGAATGGGAGAGAAGTGGTCTGAGCTTTGGGCTTGGAACCTTCACATGGGATTTGGGGGTCTTGGCTGCCCTAGTTGTCTCCTAAGAAGAGCAGCCTTCTGTACTTTTCTTAGGAGTGAGAACCAGGATGTGAACTATTCCCCTGAAGATCTAAAGGTGAAGACTGTGTGCCATGTACCAATGATGAAGGAAATGCTGAAGCGAGTCCAAGGTGAGCAGAATTTCTAGGAGTTGGAGCTCCTTAGAAGTCTTTCAAATAAGAGAATAAACAAAGAAGTCTGTGAAGGAAAGAGGAAAGAGCATGCAGTTAATGAGAGGGTCAGGAAAAATAGTAACTACTTAGAAATAAATAGATATATGCTTCATTCAATAAATATTTAACACATACTGTTAGAAGGTACTAGTGATACAGAAAGAAAAAGATCTAAGAATAGACACAGTTCACTTACAGTAAAGTGGGATCCAGTGTTTACCAGTAGCATGAATAAAATATTACAGAAGTACAGAGGAAGAACTCTATTGGGGGTAAAGTAGGGAAGTTTTCATAGCAGAGGTGACAGTTTTGAAATTTGAGTCATGGGTAGGAGCTTGCCAAGTGGAAAAAAGGGATGTACTTTTCCAAGCAGAGGGAGTAGCATGAGCTACGGTGTGGAGAAAATGGAGGAAAGGGTATGTAGTATGACTAAACCATAAGGTGCATTGTCGGGAAAGGCAGGAAATGAGGTTGAGAAGATGAGGGTAGGAAAGACTGAAGATAAACTTACTGGATCTTCAGGAAGTACCAAGGCATGTACATGTTGTAAAAGCTATGCAGGCCGTTCATGTGCTCATGCCTGATTAAGAACCAGGGTGTGGATGTCCTCTTCCAGCTAAAATGAAGTAGATTTATTCTTTGCCTGAAACTTAATTAAAAACAAAACAAAACAAAACAGACACAGTACTAGAAACAACAGTTTTCAAAACACTAGGCATCAGGTAATAAAGGACAATGATCCCTGAGAAATGTGAAACAGATGAGGTGAGCACTATGATTTGCTCTAGCCTACAGCCTTGAGAGAGTTTGCAGGCCTTCTTAGGGATGGTTAACAGAGGTGGAGCCAAGTGGACTCCATGCATTGAGGAATGGAGCTGAGTCCAGGGAGAACAAAAAAGAGAGTTTGCAGAGTATTGGACATAGTACTAGAGAAGAGAGCTATACAGAGAGATCCAGATGCTCTATAAAGGCACACCCTGAGTTTTCAGCAGAGTTCCAGTCAGCACATGCTTGTGAAGAACTACATGAGGTTGAGGAAGGAAGTTTCCAAAATGATTAGAAGGAACAGTTCCTGGTGCTCACACAGGGCAGGGAACAGTGCCTGTTCCTACCAGCCAGGCTGGAAAACCCTTAATTCATGGGACACTAGATAGAGTACACAGGAAAATCTTGCCTTACTAGTGGGGAATAATTAACCTTACACTGAGCACGGCTTTGGACCCACCTTATAAATCATGAAAGCAAGACCCAAAATGATCAAATTACAAATTATTTCCAAGTAACTGTATCCCAGGATAGCTTAAAAAGACTGATTAGAATTTCTAAAAAAATGAGCATGTACTCATCAGTGTAAATTTACAATGTTTCCCATCCAATCAAAAGATTACCAGGCATGCAGAAAGGTAGGAGAACATGACCAATAATGAGAATAATCAATTGAAACAGACCCAGGTTTGACCAGCATTTTAGAATAAGCATAGAAGGACATTTAAACAGTTACTACAACTGTTCTGTAAATAGGCATGTAGAGACATAAAAGACATAAAAAATCCCAGATCAAACTTCTAGAGATGAAAACTACAGTGACTGAGATGGTCGGGATTAATAGCTGATTAGACATTGCAGAAGAAAAGATTAATGAAGTTGAAAATAGAGCATTGGAGACTGCAAAATGAAATGCACAGATTAAAAAAACAAAAAATGAAAAGAACATCAGTTAGCTGTGGGACAACTTCTTGAAGCCTTATGTATGATAGTTGGGGTCCCGAAGGAGAGAAGTGGGTTGGGATGAGACAGAAAAAATTTTTGAAGAAATAATGGCCAAAAATTTTCCAAATTTGTTGAAAACTAGAAGTACACAGATCCAATAAGCTTAACAAACCCTAAGCACAAGAAATATGAAAACTATACCAAAACCAGTGATAAAAGAGAAAGTTAAAAAAATTCAAAACCAGGGGTGGCCGGTTGGCTCAGTTGGTTAGAGCGCAGTGCTCAGAGCACCAAGGTTGCCGGTTCGATTCCCACATGGGCCACTGAGTTGCGCCCTCCACAACTATATTGAAACAACTACTTGACTTTGAGCTGATGGGTCCTGGAAAAACACACTGTTCCCCAATAAAATTAAAAATAAAAACAAAACAAAAAACACTCAAAACCAGTGAAAGAGGAAAATTTAAAAGTAACAGGATAAAATGGACATGTTACTTATAGGGGAACAAAGATAAAGATGACATCACATTTCTCGTTGGAAACAATGCAAGTGAGCAAAATCTTTAAAGTACTGAAAAAAACCTAGAATTTTATTACTTTATTTCACAAAAACAAAAGTGAAATAAAGATGTTAGCAGATACCCATAAACTGAAAGAGTTTATCAGCATCAGACCAACACTGCAAGAAATATTACAGGAAGTCCTCCAAGCAGAAGGAAAATGATAGCAGATGGAAGTCAGGATTTACGCAAAGGAATAAAAGACCCCCCTAAATGATAATTACATAAGTAAATATTTATTTTTTGTCATTATTTAAATATTGGTAAAAACTAATAGTGATGGTTAATTTATGTGTTAACTTGACTGGGCCAGATATTTGTCAAACATTATTTTGGGTGTTGCTATGAGTATTTTGGATGAGGTTAACATTTAAATTGGGAAACTTGAGAAAGGCAGATTGTGCTCCATACTGTTGGTGGACCTCATCAAATCAGTTGAAAGCCTAACTAGAACAAAAGGCTGACCTTGCTCCTACCCCCAGCTAAAGGGAATTCTTCAGTAGACCACCTTCAGACTTCTTCTGCAGCTTGGGCTCTTCCTGCCGGATGGCCTTTGAACTAGAACATCAGTTTTCCCTGGTTCTTGAGCCTGCACATACACAGCAGATTTGGACTTGCCAGTCACTATAATCATGTGAGCCAATTCCTTATAATCTCTATACACACATGCTATTTGTTTTGTTTCTCTGGGGATCCCTGACTAATACAGTAATTGTTTAAACAGACAGACAAAAAATAACATTGTGGAGTTTGTAACGTATTTACAACTAAAATACACAACAGCAATAGCACGGATGTTGGGAGAGAAGAGATGGAAGTATACTATACACTTCTAATATGTGAAGTGGTATATCACTTGAAAGTAGACTCTGATAAGTTAAAGATGTATAGTATAAGCCTCAAAGCAACCACTAAAGTAAAACAGAGTTATAGCTAATAAGCCAACAAAAGAGATAAAGTGGAATCATAAAATATTTGATTAATCAAAAAGAAGGCATAAAAAGAAAAAGAACAAGTAGGACGAATAGAAAACATATAGCAAGATGATATACAAACCTAATCATATAAATAATTATTAAATATGAGTGGTCTGAATATCCTAATCAAAAGATGGAGATTGGGTTGGATACAAAAACAAAACAACTATATGCTGCAAGAAACACATTAAATATGAAGACTCATATATATTAAAAGTAAAACAATGTAGGGCCGACCGACACAAATTGGCACGTTGGTTAAGAGCTGGTTTGGGACGCCAGCTCTGAGCAGCAGGGTCCTGGTTCGGATCCCACATTAGGGCCAGTGATGCTGTGCCCTCTACAGCTAAGATGGTGAACAACAACTCGGCCTGGAGCTGGGCTGCTGTGAGTCGCAGGAGTCAGCATAGGCTGCAGTGGGCTGCGGTAAGCTACTGTGAGTGGCTGGCAGCCGGCGTGAGCTGCCAAGAGCTGCTGTGAGCAGCCATCTAGTGGCTGGCGACTGATCTGCCTCACCCGGGAAGAGCGCAATGATCACAATACCAACATGGGCTAGTGAAGCGACATCCTCCACAACTAGACTGAAGAACAAAAGGACAGCAACTTGTCTGTTCCCCTTCCCCGATTCCCCAGTGCTGTTCCCCTCCCCTAATTCCCCAATAAAGCAATAAAATCTTTAAAAAAAAAAAAGTAAAACAATGTAAAAAGATATACCATGCTAACATTAGTCAAAAGATATCTGGAGTGTCTATCTTATTATCAAAGTAGATTTCAGAACAAATAATATTACCAGAGATAAAGAAGGTCATTTCCTAATAAGTGGGGATCAATTTATCAGGTGTCCATAACAATTCTAAACATTTGTACATCTAATAACAGCTTCAAAATATATCAAGCAAAAACTAATAGAGCTGCAAGGAGAAATAGGTAAGTCCACAATTATAGCTGGAGTTTTCAATAATTTTTAGAACAAGTGGGCAGAAAATCAGCAAGAGTATAGTAGGCTTAAAGAACACTAGCAACCATCTTGACCTCACTGATATTTATATAACACCCCAAAACAGCAGAATATACATTCCTTTTAAGTGTACATGGAATGTTTTACTAGATAGACTAATGTAGGCCATAAAACAAATCTCTTTAAATCAAAGGACTCAAGTTACACAAAGTATGTTTTCTGACCATAATGCATTTAAGTTGGATATTAGTAATAAAAATGTCCTTGGAAAATCTCCAAATATTAGGCAACTAAATAACCCACAATAACCCATGAATTAAAGAGAAATCGAGAGAAGTAGCAAGTACTTTGAACTGAATGGAAAGGAAAACACAACATATCAGAATTTGTGGGATGCAGCTAAAAAGCAATAATTAAGGAGGAATTTATATTACTAACCTATACTGAAGAAGAAGAAAGTTCTTAAATCAGTGACCAGTTTCACCTTAAAACACTGGAAAAAGCAAATAAAGCCCAGAGTAAACAAAATAAATAGAAATCATTGCAGTACAGAAAAACAGAAAAAATGATGCAAAAGCTGTTATTTTTGAGAATATTAATTTTAATGATATACCTTTAACCAGAATGACCAGGGAAAAAAGAAGACACATTACTAATACCAAGGATGAGAGGCAACATCACTACAGATTCTACAGATGATAATAGGATAATGGAATATTATGAGCAATTTTATGCTGATAAATTCGACAACAGGTGAAATGGACAAAGGCCTTAAAAGACACAAATGACCAAAGCTTAAGAATAAATAGATAACCAGAATACCTAGTTTCTATTAAAGATTGGTGTTGTAGTTAACAACTTTCCCAAACGACTTCACTGGTGAATTCACCAAACAGTTAAGAAAGAAATATTGATTCTACCTGAACTCTTACCAAAAAATTGAAGAGGAGAGAATGTTTCCCAATTTATTCTATGAGGCCTGCATTACTGTGATACCAAAATCAGACAAAGACATTGCAAGAGTAAAGAACTATAGATTAATGCTCTGTATGAACATTGACTAATTCTAAAGAAAATTTTAGCAGATTGAATCTAATATTATATTAAAAGGATAATACATCACAACCAAATGGGATTTATCCCAGAAAAGCTGAGTTGGTTTAACTTTCAAAAAATAAATGTAATTAACCACATTAGCAAACTAAAAAAGGAAAATTATGATCACTTTAGTAGATGCAGAAAAAATATTTGTCAAAACCTAACATTCATTCCTGATTTTAATTTTTTTTTGTTTAAGACAAATGAGAGATATGGAGTCTTGGAAGGAAGAGAATTTGGAGGCAGGGAAACTAGGGAAGGTGTTATAGACAGAGTTAAAGTGAGAGATGCTGAAGGTCTGAGTGAAGACAGTGGCATTGTGAATGGAGAGGAGGAAAAGACTGATGTTTCAGAGGTAGAATTGACAGGACTTGGTGACCATTTAGTCATCAAGGGTCATAGAAAGAAAACAGCCAAATAACCTCAAGATTTCAAAGTGTAGTGTTTGGGTAGAGGTAATGCTCTTACATCTTAGAGAACATAGAAGACAATGATGTCTGCGTTTGTGGGAGGATTAGGCTCTCAAGAGGGTGGAAGGGAACTTAGGGTAATGAGTTCCATTTTGAGTTATTTGTCGGGGGCCTATGGAGATGTTCAGTGAACAACGAACCAGTGAAGGGAAACCTCGTTAATGATGACATCTATGTGTACCTGCACAAAGAACCAGCCAGTCAACAGCCTTGGTCTAGTTTTGATTCAACAAGTCAGAATTTATTAATGTTTCTCCAAGTTTTATGCTGATTGTGAAGACTTAGGGTTGCGAAATGAGTTCCCCATTTTGTAGGTCTTAGTCTTTTAGAGCAGAAGGGAAGTGAGGATTTCAGGTTGTTATAGGCCGTCCTATGTCCCACTAGGCCCAGCTGAGGATTGATGGAGAGGCAATGAGGAATCTCATTAGGAGAAGGAGGGAACTGAAGCTGGAAAAGATGGGAATTTCTGGAGGAGGGTTGGTGGTAAGATGTTGCATTCTTTATCTCCGTTCTCATTTTCTCTGCAGTGGCTATCAGTCTAGCTGAAGACACAGCTCATTCCGAACTTGTCTTCTCCCAGGAAGGGAGGTACGTGAAAAATGGAGCACTACGCGGTTCTTGGCCATTATTTTCTACAGCATGGAGCTACTTTGCTGGACGGAGGAATGGTCAGCAGAACACATGCTTTGTGGAGAGATTTCAGCACTTACCCTGTGTTTTGGGAAAAAACGTTTTTACTTCAGGAAAACATTACTGGGAAGTTGAGAGCCGAGATGGCCTGGAGATTGCTGTGGGGGTGTGTCAGGAGGACGTCATGGGGATTGTTGATAAATCAAAAATGTGCCCCCATGGGGGCATTTGGGCTATTTGTTGGAGTTCTGAGGGCTATTGGCCCCTAATAAGCTCCTCTGTAAGTCCTACCAAGCAAGAGCCAGCTCTTCACCGGGTGGGAGTTTTCCTAGATTATGAGGTTGGGGATATCTCATTCTACAGTGCTGTGGATGGAGTGCACCTACACACTTTTTCTTGTTCTTTAGTCTCACCTCTCCGGCCATTTTTTTGGTTAAGCCCATTAGCATCTTTAGTCATCCCACTGGTGACTGGTGGGAAATGAGGCTATTCTTCCTCTGCCCAAGAACCCCTGAGTGTTTCCCAGCCCTGGGACGTCCATCCTTGGCCCTCTTCTTTCACTTCATACATATCAGTCCTTTGTAGTAGGGCAGCACTATGCATTCAGTTTCCAGTTTTATGTTTTGTTCAGCTCCCTGTATGTCCTGTGAATATGTAGACAGATAGGGCAGACGCTGTTAGTTGCCTTAGTAGCTACCTGCCCCACTTCTCTCTTTCTCTTCTAGTTCTTTCTATTTGAGCTGTTTGGTATGCCCCCTCCATGTGCTTCTGGAGAAGTAGTCCAATGTGTGGTAATTCTGCCCAATGAGAGAATGGGAAATTTTCCTGGGGGTGGGGGGGGAGATGTTGGCGGTAGTTTTTGTAGCTTCTAAACTTGTTATATGAGGCTATTGCTCCCTTATTGTATAAGGCAATGTTAGTTGCACTTTGATTACTTGCAGTCTGAAGTAACCTAACTGGTGCACATAGCATGGATATCCCACAGTTTAGATTTATCTCACTTTTTCTGAAACTTGACACATTTATAGAATCTCTATTCAGTCATGTAATTCCTCTTCCCAGTAAGTACTGATATCCCTCACTTTTCTGGGTCAGAAAATTGAGGCAGTCTTCCTTTACTCTGCCCATGCTAGTACTCTTCTTCACCTGACCATGTCTCAGCCTTCACATGTTTATTATGCTAGCCATTTGTCAAATTCATAGATTGTAAATACAAGTTTATTCATGTCATACTGAAAATGTTGAAAAACACATATTTACGCTGCTAGCCGTTTCACATAATGCTTTTTTATAACCCCTGTAACAGCTCAGTGAGATGAAAATTAAAATCCTATTTTTACAAGTGAGAAAACAAACTTTTAGAATAATGTACTCAGTATTGCCCAGTTGGTGAATGGGTATGTTGGGATTAATCTGGATCTGTCTGAGATTAAAGCCTGTACTCTTTCCTACTCTACTTTTACTTGTAAGCATTTATTTATTTTTTAAAAAGATTTTATTGGGGAATTGGGGAAGGGAACAGTGTTGGGGAATTGGGGAAGGGGAACATTGTGTTTTTCCAGGACCCATCATCTCCAAGTTAAGTTGTTGTCCTCTAGTCTAGTTGTGGAGGGCGCAAGCTCAGCTCCAAGTCCAGTTGCTGCTTTCAATCTAGTTGCTGGGGCGGGGAGCAGCCCACCATCCCATGCGGGAGTCGAACTGGCAACCTTGTTAAGAACACGCGCTCTAACCAACTGAGCCATCCTGCCGCCCGTAGGCAGCAGCTCGCAGCTGCTCAGCTTCAGGTGCCGCATTCAATCTTAGTTCTGGGGGGGCGGGGGGGGACGCAGCCCACCAATCCCATACAGGAGTCAAACAGCAACCTTGTTAAGAGCATGCTCTCTCACCCGCTTAGCTTGGGCGCAGCTCACTGGCCCATGTGGGAGTCGAACCGGTGACCCTGTTGCTCAGAGCTCACATTGTATCCAACTGAGCCAACCTGCCGGCTCTGTAAGCATTTATTGAACGCAGATTGTGGGTCAGCATCATCTTTGTTTCTTATTATGTTTTTATTTATCCTGTATGTTTGTTTTTCTCACTTTACCTTTCTGCTCTAGATTGTATGCACTCAGAGAGGATTGTGAAAGTTACTGGATAGTTATTTGTAAAATAATGATTGTTTCTTTCATATAAAAGTTGTGTACTTATTGTAGAAAATTTGGAATATACATAAAGTGTAAAGAAAATTAAAGTCATCAATGATCTCATCATTACTAACATTTTAATGTGTTTCCTCCCAGACTTTCAACAGATTTTCTGGCAGTGATTTAACAAGACTTCTTTCAAAACTTCTAGCACCCTCTCTAACCTCTCCTCCCCTTCCTATGCCCATTCCCTTCTGTCTTGTCTTCCTATTTATCCTGAGCAACTCCCTTATTCAGTGATTTCTGCCGAGTTCCTTTTTTTTTTCTGCTGAGTTCTTAACTCTCTAAGATACTTGCTGTTATGAGTTGAATGTGTCCTCCGAAAAGATATGTTCAAGTCCTACCTGTGAATATGACCTTATTTGGAAATTAAGATGAGGTCATTAGAGTGTGTCTAATCCAACATGATTGGTATTTTTATAATTAGATAAAAATTTGTATACACACATGGTAATGCCATGTGAAGACACAGACGGAAGATGGCTATAGGAGAGATTGGAGTTATGCTGCCACAAGCCAAGGAATGCCTGGGGCTGCTAGAAGCTGGGAAAGGCAAGGAAGACTCCCTTTGAAGCTTCCAAGAGAACATGGCCTTGCCAACACCTTGATTTAGGACTTCAGGCCTCCAGAACAATGAGACAATTTCTAATGTTTTAAGCTACCCAATTTATGGTACTTTTTCATGGCAAACCAAGAAAATTAATGTGTTCCATCAGGACTTCCACCAGTACCTGCCTTGTAATTTCCACTCTTTGGGAAACTTATCAGTATCTTTCCTTTTCTCCACTCTTCCTTCTGGGCTGTTTAATCAGGTTGATTGGTTCTGCTACAGAGTCTTGCTCTCTGACTTCAACAGGGCTCTTTGAGCTGCCTGGTAAACAAACTATTTTTTCATCCCTTGACTTCGTTTTACATCTCTGGTGGCAGTGATTCTAAACCTTTTCTTTTTTTCTCCAGCTTTCGTAAGCTCCTCTTCATACTACTGTAGACGAGCTCAAACTTTACCTCTGCTCATCTTAGGTTTTCAGCTGAGACTAACAAAAAAACATTAACAAGAGAAAAACAGTTTATTAACTTAGGCAGCACACATCACGTAGCGGAAACCTAAAATGAAGAGGAATTCAAAGTGGCGGCTTAGAATTCTGGCTTACACAATCTTCAACAAAGAATAATAAATTTGTGGAGAAATGACAGGACAAAGGAAAACAGTTTTAGGCTTCCAAGGGTGGCAGACTGGGAAGGCAAGTATCTGTGAGGAAACTAATGGCGTAATGTTTGTTTGCAGAGTCCTCTGATTCTGTGTCTGGGCTAAGTCTCCATTAAAAGGAGAATTTATAGCCTGCCTTTAGGCATAAAAGGGGGCACTTTTTCTGGGTTTACTGCTGCTTAATTGCCTGCAGCTCAAAACAATTTATGTCAAAAAGGCATATTTTGGGTGACACATTTTGGTTCATTTTACTACTCATTATTGCAAAGAACTTTCATCTTTTACTGAGAAAAAATTTTTTTTCTGTTACTCTATCTTATTAACAATTCTTTGCCTTTTTTTTTTTTTTTTGAGTCTTGATATTGGCCCCTCAGGTATGGGATGGGCCCCAGGTGTCATACTTACTAAAAATCAAATAAACTTTTCTGATGCTTCTGATGTACAAACAGCGTTGAGAATAAACTTAGAAACTTGTAATAGTTCTCAATTTTACTTACAGATTTCTCGGAGTCTTTACTATGTTAATGTGTTATATGACTCATTAGGAGGGGTATTTATTATGCAGCATTTCTCAAGCTTATTTCACCACCAAAACTTTAGCTCTGGGAACATCAATTAAGAATCCCAGAAGACAGTTTGGCAATAATTATCCTACATTTTCTCCAGGTGATCTTGACCATTTCAGATTTCAACCTAGACTTGTGCCACACAGCCCCCAAAGTTGATGGGTACATATATTGGTGCTGTAAGCCCCCTATACTGTGTGACCCTGCATAAGGCTGTGCTAAAGTCTTT